GATTTCACAGACCGAGAAGAAGATGTTTCTTCGAATCATCTCTAAGGCCCAAGGAATATTGAAGTTGGGAAATTGCTTGAGATTTGATTAATTGCAAATTGGAAATGAATTTGTGCAGACAATGACAAGACTGTTGGAATTCTGTTGAATAAAATTGGTTTCATCCAGTTAAATTTTGAATTTTATAAGTTTTCTTATATATAGTAGTAAGATTAAAGATTAAGAGAGTGTCTATTGCTTGCAATATTTACATAGTTCTCAAAACCCAATATATAATATTCAATATTTTTTATTAATTTACCAAAAGTCAATACATTTTGACCCAATTGAAAATATGCCTTTCGGACTTTAACACCCCCCTTTTTTTATAGAATTTCTTCACTTCTTCCCTCTATCTTGACTCGATGAAAAATAATGAGGCGGGCGTAGAATCAAAGGAAAGGGGCAATTGGGTAGTGGCAACTTGAGTCTGGGCCAAGTACACGCGCCTGCACATGCGAAATGAGAAAACTTTTCGACCACAACATCGACGTGGTGGCAAGCGTTAACAGCCGGCGGCCCACACACAACTACAACACAAATACAAACACCCGAATGCTCGTGAAAAAGCGCCAAAAACCCAGGCCCCAGTTAGCCCCTTCTTTTGCACCCAACACAACCGCCCACTTTTTCGCAGTGCCTCGTTGTTGTCTGCCCGCAAAAGATTGCTTTTAGAAATTTATAGTTTCAATAATGTGGCGACCGCGTTCCACGAACCGTTGCATTGTTGGTTGGTTGGTTCGTTCGTTGGCAAAGCGGGTTTGAAAAAATGAGAAGCAAGGAGGTTCCTAAAAGATGTATGGATGTGCGCTTGTGTGTGTGTGTGTTCATTCTCATGTGTATTTTCAATTTACGCGTCTATTATTTCAAGTTTTGTAAGTTTACCTACCGAGCAACACCCGAAGGAACAAGTTGTCGACGGGCCACATATCGAACACTTGAGCAGCAGCCGCACACAGATTCTCTCTACACATACTATTCTATAGTTATAGTGTTGCAGCTTAAATCGGAGCTAAGACTAAAGCGGTTCCGAAGAGAGATATGCACTGGAGGAAAAATGTTCTCTTCTTTTTCCTAATTTCATTCCGGATATACATCAGTTCTATTAGACTTTTCTCGCCTTAACATTTATATTAACTAATAATTTGCCATAAAAAAGGCAATTCATATTTTTATTAGATAATAAATTTTAGTAAGCATATTTTTTTGGAGTGCTCAATCTGGAGATGAGACTTGGGACTAAAACTGAGACCGAAACTGAAGCAGTTGCCGTTTCCGCAATTACAAAACTTCCGCAAAAATAACAAAACACTCGCGCGTCAAACACCGCTGAATGCCGAAGTACGAGTTTGTGAGGGAAAAATGGAGGAAAATTGTAAGTGGACAAGCTGGGAGCACATGTGCGCACCAAGCCAAAACACACACACATTTCCCTCCATGATTTTTCTAGGGCAGATTTTAATTTCTTAATGTAGAAAGGGCATAACAAGGGGGTTAAGTGGGTGGATACTGCTGTGTTGGACTGCCAAAAGGGTTAAGCACCACACGACTACTTTGTCTTCGTGCATTCGCAATGAGAAAAACGGTCGCATCTGTTGCCAGTCAAACTGCAAAGTCAATTCCGGAAAAGAAAACTCCATCAAAAAAAAAAAAAAAGAAATGATGTATGTGATGGATATGTGCTTTGTTCTTCCTATTATATTCCTTATTCCATATTTTTTTTTTGATTTTTTTTTCGCAATTTTTCTTAACTGCCATTAGTTGGCTGTCGACCAGCAGCCATTGGCCTCGTTATCCCAGCTCAATTTTCTCATTACCTACCATATTTTCCTTCCACATAGATAGTAAACTCGCCTGCATCAAAAGAAATTCATAATCTCTTAATAAGCCGAGGGGTAAACAGTCTTAGAGAATTCCTTCCTTAGCCGAAAAACCAACAAACAAGCATCTTCAAAAGGAGTTTTCCAGACACGTGTTTGTGTGTGTGGGTAAATGGATGAGATCTCCGATATATATTATATCCCCAAATCGCCCAATCCAAAAACTCTCTCTCGGACAACTCCCTTTTGACACGCACACAAATCACTTGATTCAATCATCTCGAAAATTGATAACATGCCATTTACAAATGACATCACTGGAAAAAAGCAAACTCATTGAGCGCGCCTGCCACAAATTATTTATAGACCAAAAAAGCACACAAAAAAAAAAAAGAAAAACAAGAAGATACCCCAAAAAATTAGGACACGTGCCGCCAGTTGACCAGCCTCTTGGCCACGCCCCTTATTATCCCGGGTGAATGTTGCACTGGCCAAGTGAAAGTGAAAGTGAACCTTCTAACCGCACACGGCACGCACCCAAAGAAAATACAGGGAACCAAAAAAGTCTCCCAACTAATAGAGTTTCTGTAATAAAAAAAAGATTACATTAACTTAAGAAAATTATAGAACTTCCTTTCAGATTTTTTTAAGTATCATCTTCTAAATCTTAAATCATAAAACTAAGCTTGATCTAATAGTTTAATTTGTATATTTTCTTTGAATGTAATTTCCAACTTATACTCAAAACCAATACACCCCTTTTAGTACTGGGTGCTAGAAAAAAAAGGGAATACAGCGGCCGAAAAATTTCACCACCATCACCTAACTGCCTCATTTCGGATGCGTTGCACGCTGAGCTTTTCATTTCAATTTGAACGCATTTTTTTGCGGCCAAAACAAAGGACACCAAAAAAAAAAATTGTAGAAGATAGACAGAGGCAGGGAAGACCAACCATCATAATCTGAACAATCGGCGCAATCGGACAATTGATTCGAACGCATTTGCGTGCTTGCCTGAAATAACTGCAAATTATTTTCAGTCTGTTATATTCTTTTGTAATGCTGTATGTTTGCCGGGGGATTCCCCATTGTGCCATCAGCCTCATCAGGCGGCAAAATACCAAAATGTGGGATGGTAATGGAATCAAGTTAAGTGATTCGCTACGTGATGCTTATTTGGGACCAAGCATCGTAAAAAGGTTCCAGCAAAAAGTGGAAATGAACAAAAATGATAAAGATTCACCAATGTCTGAAGTGCAGGAAAACTATTCCTCAAAAAGAATATAAAATGTTATTTAAATTTTCATAAATAGAAGGATTACACAGTTGACATTTTTTAATATAGTTTTCATAAAAATTTTAGCAACAAATTCCTATTACATACTTGGTTACATTCAAGTTCAAGTTAAATTGAAAACACAACTTGTTTTATTAAGATAACTCTTTGGAAGATGTATACATATAAACCACCAACAACTATAAAACTCATTATGACCCAAGGCTAACCGATCCATTGAGCATTAAACAGTTGACCAAACTTTAATTAAGAGCACAACGAAAACAGGCAAACAAACCCCACAGAGAAAGCCAAACAATGGAGTGAACTAAAAGAAAGAACTAACCAAAAAGTCAGTAACACTTGAGCCAAATGTCAAATACACAAATATCCAGAAATTCGAATGGAAATGGCAATGGCAATGGCAATGAAAATGAAAACGCCCTCCGGGGTGCATTTACCATACAAAACTAACTGACCCGACCCTATATACGAACCCGATTGAATAGAAACTATAACGAGAGAGAAACAATAACTTGGAACCCGGGAAAGGTTAACACTGACCTTCTCCTCACCACCCCCATCCATACATTTCTGGGTATTGATAGCTATAGTTTGTTCAGGGTAAACCGGAGACAAAAAATGAACAAGAAGAGTTAACGCCAAAGCAAAGTGACAATAACAAGCACAAAATGGACATCTCCACCACTACTACCAGCCCTTTGGGATGATGATGATGATGACAATGGACCCGAGATTCTTCTCCTTTTGGACGACTTGACATCCGGCATAAATGTCAAACGACAACTTTGACCGCAAATTTAGATGGTAGATGGTTGGGTCAATGCATCGGCACAAAAAAAAGGATAACGAATGACCAAGCAACAGCAGAACACAAATATATTCATGACGATTTTGTAAACAGGACCTGCTCGAGTCCATCAGTTGCCATCAGACCGAAACTAACATATATACAGGCAATATATGTATAGATGTGTATATATATATATACTGGCCGTTTCCATTTAAAGCACATCTCGCATCCGCCGCTCCCGTTTTGCCATACCAATTTCTATTCTCATGCCCGTTCTCAACCCAAATCCAACCAAATGCGTCGCTTAATTACAAAACGAACTACGCATAAAAACCAACAGAGACAGCGTTCGTCGATGGGCCACCACCTTCTATACCCCCCCAAGGAAGGACACTATTGTCTAACGGGACTCAAAGCCATACCATGCCATGCACAGACAAAAATTGGTAAGGCTTAAAATTATAAAAAGTGAAAAAATAAAATGAGATCACAATCCCATATAGGGTGATTTAATATTAAAGATATCTCAGCAAGACAATAAGTTTAGATAATATTAAAGTCCATTATTTATTTTATAACTATACTTTAATATATCTTTGGCTTTTTAAAAATTATTCTTCCAGTGCCTTATCCCATATCCCACCGTTCTTTCACTGGCCGCCTCATCGTTTGACATTTGCAATATTTGACATTCAAGTAAAGGCATAAATTTGCGTTTAATGAAATCCAAAGGCGCCCATCTCTCTCTATACCGTGGTGTCTGCACCATATGACTGTTGTTGAAGGGAGGAGGGTTATACTGAAATGGGGGTCCTTCGGCCCCATATCTCCGTCCCCATTGACGACCATTAGGAGGCCAACCGCAGCGACAGCTGGCAGGGCCAGCAAATTACAACAGCGGATACGAGGAGAGTCTATTGAGCGGCCATTGAACATGATGATGCCAGATACGTGTCTTGGACTGCCTTTTTGAATACCACCCATCCTTTGGCTTTATTTTATACGAAAAATTGTTAGTCTATTGAAATAATTTTATACAATAAACTGTGAATTTTGTGGCAAAAGCTAAGTTTATAATCATAGTTATGGTGTTTAAGGTTCAAATGCTTGAGGTTAGAAGTCAATTAAATTTCTCGTTGTGCGGCGAATTTGTGCGTGAAAAAATATATAAATTAGAAAACAAAAAAAATAACAAAAAAGCGACAGACATCGTTTAGTTTTTCCCCATTTATGAAGAATCATCAATTGGTTGACTCAAGAATTTATAACTTTCTTCCCGTGTATAGATGGTGACGATTTTAGAAATTCCAGAGTACTTCATTAGACTGTCACCACCAGCTTTGATATCATAGGATATATCTAAGTAATCATCGTCATTCTTTAAGGAGTGTAATTCATGTCTTCCGCGATATGCAACTATCTTTCCGAAACCAGTCTCTGGGGATGTATCAGTCGAAATGTTAGTATCGGCTCCGTTTTTAGTTCCAGTTCCGTCTTTTTCCGTATTTAATTGGTTGTATTTACCGGAGGAGTCTTTCCCATTCTTCACGTTCTCATGCACATCAGAATCTAATTCACTTGACGTGCCAATTGAATTAAATTTCGGCAAATTTCTTATAACGGTCTGGGATTTAAATTAGTATGAGAATGACCTTTGGACGAGATTCAATCATCATTTCCTAAACTCACCAAATACATTTGCGATTTTATAATCAAAGATATAATTATGGAGAACAAGGTCATGGCGAAAAGAGTTATTCCCATAACATTAACGGTTTCATAATGTGTCTCATGACGATTCATAATCATATCCACAATCTTATGACCCAGCAAGGAGATCCTGTTTATAATGCCAGCGGGCCCATCTGCAATATTGTAAAAGTATTTAATCGAAATAACTATAATTATTGTAAAATACAGGTAAGTCTTCTGGAGATGTTTCCATATGCTCGTGTGTGAATGATGTTTTCTGAATGGGTAAAAGAGATTTGCAATTAAAAACTTGAGATCTGCGCAGCGAAAGCAAATAAAATGCAATTAGCAAGATTTGAATTAATTAAGTAGTAAGTACAGTCGTCACCGGCTACGGCAAACAAGTTGATATGGAAACCCCAGGCTCAAAGTTTCACTTTATTAATAGCTGAAATGTAGTGGGGTAAACTTGGTGTGTTCTAGATGTGGGTGGAAGGCATGGAAGACATGTGCCAGACAACTCACACACAAACACATGGCTTTTGTTTATCTTTCGCACAGACATACGTAAAGTGGGCGGAAAGTGGGTGTTTGTTGGGTGGTTCGATGGTTGGACTACCCTTGCAAACTCTTTTTGGCAAGGACGAAAAGAAGCTAAAGCAACGGCAGCAGGAGCAGCAACAACAGCAAAGTGCAATTATCGCAAAATACCTTAAGGTTTGCATCGTCGTCAATGGGGGGAAAGAGCAGTAGAAAGCGGTGGGAAAAAGAGAGGAAAACAGGAAAATTCAGAGTGGCCCACAGGTGTGCTACCCCCACCACCCCTTCAATGTCTGCTGGTGTTTACCCAAGTGCTTTGTATTGAAGTGCATTTTGCCATGTAATTTGTAGTTCTTTACTATTTGATTTTTGAAGCTGTGAGCTTAACCGAAACCATTATGTTAAACCTGTATTTGAAATGGTTTGCTCTAAGAAACTCATACAATATAAAAACGATTATTATACCAATCAAGAGGAAGCCCAAAGAGTAATAATCTCTAATATTACCCCCATAACCAAAAATCAACAGAATGATTTTCAAGCCGCGATCAAATTTGTATGATGATCAGTGCTGAAAACCGAGAAAATCGACTTATACAACAAGATGGGAAAAGGTGCCTTTAAAGTTCGATAATTGCGAATTCCTTGTGCATGTTTCAGTTCGCATCAAATCGTCGCGCCATGATCGGATTTAAATCAGCGGCGACTGTGGCACAACCAAATTGATCTTTTATCGCTTCAAAGACGCTTCTGCTGCGGCTGCTCACGAGGAATCGAGAGGATCGTTTCGAATCAGATCGAAATTAACGGTAGGGGGGCGAAGACTGCTACTACTGCTGCTGATGGGATGGATACACCTATGGGATCGGTTTAGTTGGTTTTTGAGAGCTCTCTTGGTAGCCGGCGCGTAAAAGCTTACAAAGTGGGACAACTCACAGAAGCGCATAACTCAGCAGATGGAGCAAGAGGCAATGCAAACCGAGATGTTGTAGTACATTGAGAAAAACGAAACTACTATTAAGAGGAATAAAGTTTTGTAAAACAAAGTCTACTTTGTAATAATAATAATAACTAATTAACCGAGCAATATTTTTATACTTTTGGTTTATTTATTTACTAATAAATATGCTTATTATGTTTTATTTTTTTCGGTATACTAAAGCTGAAACTGCTCATGGGATTGGGACATGGGGATCGGGATCGGGATCGACGACAACGACGACGACTACATTCACGCGCTGGGATTAAATCGGAAGTTATGCGAATGTCAAAATCTCGTCTCCCGCCCCTCGTGGCACCTTGATTGGTGTGGAACCACGAGATTCAGATACGGCCGATGAAGAGATGGCCATTCGGTTGCCGGGAGAGTGATGAAGTAAAAATTGTTACCGTATCGAATGCGGATTAAAATCAGCTAAACAAGTTGCCACTCGCATTGGTCGCTCAATGTCTGTCGAACCGCCACATTTTTTTTTATTTTAACTTGGTTCGACTGTTCTTTTTTTCTCCTTTAGCAAAATTGATGGACCGTGGAGAGGTTCAAAGCGAATCGATAACGAATCAATTAAGCGGTATTTGTTAAAGAGTATTGGGAACTTAGATAGGGAATATTAATTATTTGAATAACGAGGAGTAGACCAAGATCCAAACTTTTAATAAACGTCAAGAAACGAACACCATAAAACCTCTTTCCATTTGAGCTTCAGTTCTTTTTCTCTAATCAGCAACATTTCAAGTGGATGAGCAAGAAAATAAATTAAAAGAAAAAAAACTGACGAAAATGAAAGGGATTAAATAAATAAATCACTTGGCTCCGTTTTCAGGACATTTTCGTCTATATTTTTCACAAAAAGGCGAGGAGAGTGAAACAAAAAGGGCAAAAAGCAAAATCAAAAAATAAAAAAAGGGTTGCCCATACCAATTAATGAGTTAAAAATTGTGCATTGAATGAATTGGAATGGATAGAGGGCGAAAGATTTCCCGCTGTCCCGCAGCAAAAGAGCAAAATTAATGAAGATATTTCGCTGTCGACGGGGGACGGTCAAGAGAAAAGGGGGCGGCGAAGACTTTCGAGGACCGAGAAAAAAATCATTTGATTTTTAATTACGCTGCTTTTTTATATTAGAACGGAAACAGCTTGGAATAGCAAACACCTTGGAAATTAACACGCTCCAAGTTGGGCCGAAATACTCGACTCGGTGACTTGAGCCACTTGAATTCGGAGTCTCGGGGGTCTGAAGATTCTCAGATGGCACTGCCAACTGGCCCTGGCACGCACGAAAGGGTTCAACTTAATTAAACCGTTTCTTTTTTTTTTCGTATACATTTTTTTTGCCCCTTTTTGACGCAATTGAAAAACGGTTGGCAATATTAGGAAGGCGAATGGTGAAAGTAGAGAGTGGATGGGAGGGTCTAAACTGGCAACTGTCATCGTATTGGACACAGCGAAGTGGGCACAAATTGACATCTAAAGTGCTTAAAATTTTCTTTAATTAAGTGTGACAAACTGTGGGCAAAATAAGCCAAGACGGATGAAAAATATAATGACAAGGGATAGGCAGGATGAAAAAAAAACCAATTATTGCCTTTATTAATTTATTTATCTAATTGAATAACCTATTTAGCTGACAAGCAAACTTTGTTCTTTTTTCATAACTAACAAGTAGGCTTTTCTAACTTTGACATTTGAATACTAGGTATAAGAATTTTAAATAAATACAAGCCTCTTGCAAATAAAACCTCAAATATGCGACGTAAACCTTTCCCTTTGCTGACTAATCGAGTGCCTTTTCAGCATCCCAATAAATAACTCAAAAGCAAAAGATGCAGATTGCACAGCGAGGGGAGGACAAAAAGAATGAAGACTGCAAAAAAAAAAAAATGGAAATGAGGATGAGTAGCTGCCCACGCACAAAACGGACGACACTCAATGGAAGTCATTTGGAGCTCGTAAATAAGCAAAGTGCAGCATTAATAGTTGCTGATTAAGGAGCGCCTACGGGAAATTCAAATTAAGTAATTTAGACCCACGTTGTACTTAGTTGCCGAAATGCCAAAGAAAAATAAAAGTAAAACTTACTGAAGTTACCATCGGGTTTGTTCGAGTAGCGAAAAGCCTTTAGAAAATCCATTCAGCACGAATAATAATATATTATTTTTTTCACAAATATTATTTTTTTTGAAAATATTGGAAAAATATACCAGTAACAAATATATGATCTGCTTTTGACCTTAGCTGTTAGTCAACTGACAATATGACTAGGAAAAAGTAAAAGGTATTGACAATCCGATCTCAAGGCTTAGTTGTTGAATGTTTTCAAAACTATGGGAAACTAAGTGTTTTGACCTACGACATGATAAATTTAAATTAAGTATTAAGTAAGCATAAGTATAAATCTCGAACAGTTTTCATAACGTAATAATAATCATAAAATTAATAATAATAATAATAATAATAATAAAAATAATAATATCCTTTTAATAAGCCAAATTCTTAGATCCAATCTTACTCCAATTAGTCTGGAAATATATGGGGGATGAGGCAATTGCTTCTCGTCCGACATAAATAATAATCAATTTGATATCAAATCGAGCCAACAACAGTCGACAATGTCCTTGCCGAAAAGCAAAGAAAAAACAGAAAGGAAAAGAATCAGAATTGATGATTATTGCTTTTTGACAGAGATTCGCCAAGGCGACAATAAAAACGAGACGGGGAAAAGGAAAAGTCTGTACTCACATGCCCTTTTATGGGGATGCGTGGGTTTTCTGTGTTAGTATCAATAAAATAGCCACACACACACACAGTCTCACACGTACAAAAGTCGGTAAATAGGGGCCGAAGGAAAAATATTTATGTGCATGTTATAGTAAGTGCAAAATAATAGCCGGCGGTCGAAATTACAGGGGCGGAGTGGCAAAAAAAAAGAAAAAGGAGGTGAGAAATGGGTGGGCAAAAATTGGTGGATGGAGTGGCAGAAAAGGACACAGACACGTCGCAAGCAGACTAGTACTAAAAATGTTTCAACAATTACCAAGGAAAATGATATGTGCTTGTGTTTTGGGTCTTGCGTGGGCTTAAGCATATGTGCGTCAGTTTCTTTATATATATATATTTAGTTATACACACACATGCATAAATATTGTGTGTGTTTGGCAATAATGCACTCGACACATTTATTTCTTTTTCATTAGCCAAGAAGCGACTCCCTTTTCTTTCCACTCTTTGGGTCGTGACCTTCAGATGTGTGTGTTCCGCCATCACCAACCAAAGCCAAAGAAAAATTGGCGGGAAATTTGAAAAGAGAAAGGTATTAGCTAATATATATTGTACAACATTTTTTTCTTCGTTACTTCTTCTTCTATTTGTGAACTACACATACAAAAAAAAAAACATTTACTAAACAAGAAAACTTCCATCTTTGTTCTATATAAATTTAAGGATTTATGTAGAAGGCCGGAGAAAATGGCTCTGTTCTGTCATAATTTCTAATACCCTGAACACCAGAAGATAGCAGGCACCACAACCTTACTTTATTGGCAACATAAGACTATGTGAGAGCCAATAGTTTGCAATTAACTGGCGAGCAATAAAAACGACAATCAACATAAAAATAATCGAGAAAAATCGTAGTACTGTGGTAATAAAGATAATTTTATTTGGTCTAACGCAAAAAATAATTGAACATGCATTGCCCACTATGTATTTAACCAAAAACAACTGCGCACATTTCCCACCGCAAAAAGAAAATCTATTAAAAAAAATTTCGGGCAAAAGTAGCCAAACAAGAGTGTGCGCGTTGTAACGTACAAATTACGTAAACATCGAGGGGGTGAAAATTATGAACCTTGAGGCAGATTGAAGTAAAGTATTTTTTTTTTTTTTATTCTTGGGTTGCAAGGCGAAAAAAATACAGGGACAACTGCGGGCCCAGATGAAAAATTCGACCCTAGGCAATATTTACAATTAAAAAATTAACGTAAAGCAGGCCGAAGTTGGGCCAACAACTGGGGGTTGTGGCTGCGGGGTTTCTTTGAAAAATATAAAAATTTGCGGGAAAAAAAGGCTATGAAAAAACTGTGAAAAAGCCCTCAAATCAATAGGAAAAACTTCAAGAGGAGTGGGGACTGTGAAATAACTGACAATGTTAAATTTCTCCAGATGTACACTTAGAGAAGTTTTTGTTTTATTTCTATAAATTTTTCTGTGAAATTTTTCAATGGATATTCACCAAGTCACCTTTAATTGTTTCTCAATTAAAATTTTCACCATAAGAATCATCATTGGCTTTTATTCTTTGAGTACTCAGCTTTCAACTTTAGAAATAATAATATAAATATAATAAAATAATCACATAAGTAATATTTAAGTAAAATTTTCCATTAACTATTTCGTAATATTAAAATATCATTGCAAAGGATTTTATCTTTATATTGAAAACTTAACGTATATGAATAAATGATGTTTTTTCTCTGTACATCTCTTATGTGGATAAGGAAAAGCATGAATGTGGTTCAAGGGACTTTCTGCGAGGCCTAATGGAAATTGTATTTATCTCGTTTGAAGTTTTTCTCGTTCCACCACCGAAAATCATGTCTCGCACCTTCACCCCCTACCACCTTAGTTTTCTCCTCCCACCAAGCGACACTTGGCCTCACCTTGCATCCCCCCCCACTTCCCAAATAAAACCCCAACCACCTCTTGTCCATGAAAATGCCTTAAGCGTTCTTTATAAATTAAAATACGAAGAAGCGGCAGCATAAAATGATCAGAAAAACGGGCAAAAAAAAAGGAAAACGAAATTAATATTTTTTTTAGTAATTTTTCTGGCGTTTCTATCCTTAGTTTGCGGCTGTCAAAAACGCTGGGAAAAATGGGTAAAATATTTTCATAGGTAGTTCGGTGGTGGGTTGGGATTTTGATCCTTAGTGTTTTTTTTTTGGGCTAATTTAAGCGTTAAACCGACTCCGAGCAGCAAAAAATTTAGAACCAAAACCGAAAAAAAAGGAAGCTGTAAAATGAACAGTTGGCTGAGTGATGGGCGGATGGCGCATGTGGGCGGAGGTTTGAAAATCAGTAGGGTTGGCCACCAGAACTGATTATTCAAATCTAGAAAATCTATGAACTCAATTTAGCTTCTTGGTACAAAATATCGATGAAATAATTTACTAAATAGGCTAACAAAATAAGATATTTAGTGAATGATAATGCAAATGCAAATAACGAAATTGTTTTGACGGTACATTTAAGTTGATACTTACTAGGATTAGTGCAATAAAGCTTAGAAGTCAAATAAAAACCGTTAAAAACAACATGTTAGAAAATCAACGCAAACCAACTATTTTTCTTGGCACGTTTCAGCGCTTTACAAAATAGTCAAAAATGGCAAATAAAGTTTTGAACAATGAATATTCACATTCACAATCGGACACGTAAAATGTGTATAGAATATATGTGAAAAGGGTGGCGGCTAGGACGTGCCTGGTTTGGCCAATTGCCTTTTACGTTTCGATGATGGGAAAACTTTTTCGATAATACTCAGAAATAAGTGCGAAAATTGTTGAATATTGCACATGCAAAACATACAAACAATTGACAGAGTTATAAACACAGACGCACAACTACAAGACAACCGTGCATTAGATTTTATTGTTTTGACTAGGATGAAAATTTGAATTGAAACTTGTTGCAAATTCTTGTTATGAAAAGCATACATAATTTTGGGTTCTGTTTAAAACGGCTGTTGTAGGTTTTCTGTCTTTTATATTTTTGTTAAAATGTTTTGACAAACAAATGCGCCACATGACGTCATTGACTTTTTTTAATAAGGATTTTTAATATCATGTGGCAATTATAGCCTAGGCCTTACGCCCTCACTTGATGTACTTCTGTTATTCATTTAGCTTTTTTTCGTATTCGAAATCGTATTAACACATTTAGGAATATTTATGTGGTTTTCATTTCTTTCAAATTTTTGAAAAATCATTGTACCTTTTACATCAATATTAAATATAATATCTGACAAGTTTAAACCGTAAGCCCAGACGCAGACAAATGGAGAGAAAGTCGGAATCCTTTCCAAGACTTTTTTAAATGCGAGCTTCCGTTTCCGCCGGGATACATTTGCATACTCCAAGGCGAGCGATTCGATGAGGCTGCCAATGGGTGGGCAGCATAGCATTGTTGGAGGACTGAGAAATTTTATGATAGCGCCAAACATAACTCATTGACAGCTTTGCATTTTCACATGCCGTACTCGCCACGGGGGGGCGGAGGTGGTGGTTTGATTTTTCCCAATGGCAGGGGGGTTGGACTTTGCCGCCTTCTGCATATTGCACAAAGTTATGAGCCGCAAATGATAAACGGCTCTGAGATTTTATTGTTTGAAGCGAATGGGAGTTGAAAGTTTGGCAGAAAAGGGGAGTTATTGATTTATATTTTTCAATATTGAAGAAAAGATTGAATTGAAAATTTAATATTGTTTATTAAAATATTATAAAAAAAAGAAAGAATTCTTAAAACTTTACACTTTAATTTACTATTAATGATTTGTAATAAATATCTTGTTTTTAAAATTTATCTATATGCCAATTGTAAACATCAGTTTTCAACTTTGCCGTCCGTTTTAATTTACATTTTTTTTTCATTTCTATTACGTATATTCTTTTTTGTTTCGAGCTCATCAGCAGCGCGTTTGTTTTGTCATCAAGCTAATTAATTAATTAGTAGCCGCAGTAGCAACAACAGCCACCGCAAGTGGTGTGAAAAATCGCCGGGACACACCTTAAAAGGCATACACTCCACACGCTACCTACACCGTTCCCCGCGACCTTCGAACTTTAAGTGACTGTGCAATAAAATTGTGTCCCCAGTCTAATTAGATGTGTAGTTGATTCTAGTTGCTGTTGCTGTTGCCATTATGCGTGTAATTCATCAAATGACAAAACCAACTGACATCAACTGCAACTTTTCACATTTTGTTCTTAACCCTTAAAATTAAATTATTATTAAACTTAAGGAGTGAACTTAACAATATTTTTGAAACCATGAATCGGAAGACATATTATACCCATTCTACATGAATTTATTCTTGAGTATGAAATGAATTTCAAGCAGATTGCAATATATAATATTAAACCCTTTCCAATTCATTACAACCCCCAAGAATAATCCAGACACAAGCCACAAAATGCTGTTAAATCTCTCGCTATTTTCGGCGATTTCCGTCTTTATAAAATAGCATATTCTCATATATCCGGAGTTTTCGCCAATTCCGTTTTATTGCCTCGCTGTCAGTTTTTTTTTTTTTTTTGTCTATTTTTTATAGACGTTTATAGTTTTTTATGTCGCATAAATTTTTTCGCCGACAAGGGAGAAGCACATTCAACATAAA